TCAAAAAAAAAAAAAAAAGACAGAGTCTTGCTCTGTTGCCCAGGCTGGAGTGCAGTGGCACAATCAGGTTCTCTGCAGCGTCACCCACCTGGGCTCAAGCAGTCCTCCTACCTCAGCCTCCTGAGTAACTGGGAAAAGGTACATGCCACCACATCCAGCTGATTTTTTTATTTTTTGTAGAGATGGAGTTTTACCATGTTGCCCAAGCTGGCCTTGAGCTCCTTCAGGGAATTTATTGTGCCTTGTCTTGGGTGTGCAGAGCAGCACAGGGTTATGGTAGCACTAGCTTTGGAGTCAGTGGCCTGGATTCTGATTGTTCCCAGCACTGTAGATCCAGCACTGTGGACTTGCAGAACCCGAGGCTCAACTAGAACAGGGCGATGATGACTTTCCTCCTTAGGATCCAACTATTTTCTTTCTTTCTTTTTTTTTTTAATGAGACACAGTTTCACTTTGTCACCCAGGTTGGAGTGCAGTAGTGCGACCTCGGGTCATTGCAGCCTTTGCCTTCTGGGTTCAAGTGATTCTCGTGCCTAAGCCTCCCAAGTAGCTGAGATTACAGGCGCGTAGCACTATAGCTACCTTCTTAGGATCTTAAAAGATAAATGTTGGTAAAATTGTTAGTAGGACTCCTGGCAAGTAGTGCGTAGCCCTTAAAGAGTGGTTATCACTGTTCCCTGCCTTGAGGTGTCATTGGATGTGTCCCTTTCCAGCTGAGCTATCCAGTGACTGACCCAGGCTGGGACTGACCCCTGCTGAGAAGTGCCAGGTGGTCTTGTCCCTCTGCCCGAAGCTCAGACAGTGCTCTCAAGCATAACTGATATCTCTCGTCAGATCCTCCTGGCCAACTTCCTGGCCCAGACAGAGGCCCTGATGAGGGGTAAATCAACGGACGAGGCCCGAAAGGAGCTGCAGGCCGCAGGCAAGAGTCCAGAGGACCTTGAGAAGCTGCTGCCACATAAGGTCAGCACTGCTGCAGTCAGTTTCAGGGCGCATGCTGGAGTTGGAGGGGTGAAGCTGTGGCACCAGGCAGGGGCTTGGGGCATGCCTGGCTTGTCCTACAAAGTGGGAGGACCTGTCCTCACAGTCCTGCACGTCTCAGCCTCTGGGGCAGAGCGTGCTTCCCTTCTAGGAGTTTGGGGATCAGAACTTGCTTAGAGACATTCCTTGGTGTTTTCTGCAGGTCTTTGAAGGAAATCGCCCAACCAACTCTATTGTGTTCACCAAGCTCACACCATTCATGCTTGGAGCCTTGGTCGGTGAGTGAGTAGGGGAAGGTCCTGGCTTGGGGTAGGTTGGAATGGGCTTGCGGAGCCCTGACGTGCCCTGTCTGTCACCTCTGCAGCCATGTATGAGCACAAGATCTTCGTTCAGGGCATCATCTGGGACATCAACAGCTTTGACCAGTGGGGGTGAGTTGCTCACTTAGGGGAAGGCTGGGAATGCCTTTGGGTCAGCTCAGGGATTTCAGTAGCAATGTTAGAGCCTTCCTCATACCACTCTTCTTTCCCTTCTTGGCAGAGTGGAACTGGGAAAGCAGCTGGCTAAGAAAATTGAGCCTGAGCTTGATGGCAGTGCTCAAGTGACCTCTCACGATGCTTCCACCAACGGGCTTATCAACTTCATCAAGCAGCAGCGTGAGGCCAAAGTCCAATAAACTCGTGCTCAGCCACAGCCTCCTCTGTGACTGCTCCTTTTCGTCCTTCCTCCCCAGAGCTGAAACTGCATGGTCCTGGCCCCCTCCCACCCAGAGCGCCCTCTGGTTGCGGGTTTGGACCACGAGCCCTTTTCGGGGAAGGCTGGTCTCGAATTGCTACCCCCAAGCCCCTCCATATCTGCCCTCCCTCTGTGTTACAATTGGCTGAAGTGTTTCTGCGCAGCTGACTTTTCTGACCCATGTTGACACTGTTCACGTCCCATGTAGAAAAATAAAGATGCCGCAGAGGAGGCTGTAGGGCTCAGCCTCTGATTTTTTTCCTGAGATGGTGCTTTATGTAGCATAAGGCAGGTGAGCTCAGCAGGACGCAGGCTGTGCCTCCGTGGACACTGAACACTAAGTGGTGAGCAGGTCTAGAGTGGAGCACGGTGCCTTGAGAAGACAGTAGTGGGGTGAGGACACAATCAATCAGGAGGGCAACTTGGCCTCTGTCACCAAATCCCAAAACTGTTTTCTACTCCTCACCTCTGTGACTGGAGAAATTAGATACTCCGTTTAATCGATGGTTCTAAAAATTGCATTGAGATTTTGTTTGGGGTGAATTCCTGGACAAGACCAAGGGTGACTGCCATCTCCTGGCAAGATGCTCGGGTAATTCTTTCACTTTAAAAGGCAGACATTGAAAACAGGATTTTTTTTTCTTGAGACATAGTCTTGCTCTGTCACCCAGGCTAGAGTGCAGTGGTATGATCTCAGCTCACTGCAACCTCCATCTCCCTGGTTCTCCTGCCTCAGCCTCCCAACTAGCTGGGATTAGAGGCATGTGCCATCACACCCAGCTAATTTTTTCATATTTTAGTAGAGATGGGGTTTCACCATGTTGGCCAGGCCAGTCTCGAACTTCTGACCTCAGGTGATCTGCCTGCCTTGGCCTCCCAAAGCACTAGGATTACAGGTATGAGCCACTGCACCCAGCCTGATTTTTTTTTTTTTTTTTTTTTTGAGACAGGGTCTTGCTCCATTGCCCAGGCTGGAGTGCAGTGGCATGATCACAGCTCACTGCAGCCCCAAGCACTCAGGCTCAAGCCTCCCAAAATTGAGACTACAGGTTGTGCCACTATGCCCTGCTAGTTTTTTAAATTTTTGTAGAGATGGGTCTTGCTATGTTGCCTAGACTAGACTGGTCTTGAATTCCAGGGCTCAGGAGATCCTTCCACCTCAGCCTCCCACAGTGCTAGGATTACAGGCATGAGCCCCCACACCCAGCCTATTCAAAAATTTTTTTCTTAGAGACAGGGTCTTTGTTGCCGAGGCTAGACTACAGTGTTGCAATCATAGCTGACTGAAGCCTCAGCTTCTCAGGCTAAGGTGATTTTCCCACCTCAGCCTTCCAAGTAGCTGGGACTACAGACGCATGCCTGTACACCCAGCTCATTTCTAAATTTTGGTAGATCAATATAGTGTTGTAAAAGAAAAAAGAAAAAGAAAAAACTAAATTTTTGTAGTGATAGGGTCTCACTGAGGCAGGAGAATAGGGTCTGGAGACAAGGGAGTGTTCACTTCAGCCTCTGATTGGTTTCAGGCCAAGTCTTTATTTACATAGGATGTAACCAAATAGGAAACCACTAAAGGGTACTTAAACCCCAGATTTTTCAAACAGGGCACTTGCTTGAGCCTTCTTCTGCTTTGTGGAGTGTACTTTCGCTTCAATAAAACTCTTTGTTCCTTCTTTCTTGCATTGCTTTGTGTGTTTTGTCCAACTCTGTTCAGCATTCCAAGAACCTGGACAACGTGTAGTCAGGACCCTCCACTGGTAACACCACTGTGTTGCCCAGGCTTATCTTGAACTCCTGGGCTCAAGTGATCCTCCTGCCTTGGCCTCCCAAAGTGTTGGGATTACAGGCGCAAGCCACCATGCCCAGCATCACAGAGCCTTTTAAAGCTGTCAGGTTGAAATGTGATAGAACAGGAGTAAGCAGGTTTCATCTCCTGGGCTAGAGCCGAACAACACGGAGGCTGGTGCTTCCTCTTTTGAGGTGTAGATCCTTGAAAAACATACATTTCCTTTGCATACCATGTTATGAATCCTGAAATAATGTTTTTGCAGCCGGTATATTTTTAAAAGTCAGGTTTATTGGGGTATAATTTACATATAATAAGATTCACCTTTCTTTGGTATACGGTTCTGAGTTTTCACTAGTATATACAGTCTTATAACTATTACAGATGAGATATACAGCATTTTCCTCACCCTAAAAAGTTCCTGATGCTCTGTTGTGGTCCATTCCTACTCCCTCATCCCAGCTCCTGACTACCATTGATGTGATTTTTTTCCCTTAAAGTTCTTCTTTTACCAGAACGGCACCTTTTGTGGCTGGTTTCTTCCCATGATGCTTCTGAAATTCACCCATGTTGTGCTGCAGGATTTAAAAAAACGATTGTGTGGCCGGGTTCAGTGGCTCATGCCTGTAATACTAATACTTTGGGAGGCTGAGGTGGGTGGATCACTTGAGTTCAGGAGTTCAAAACCAGCCTGGCCAACATGGTGAAACCCCTTCTTTATTAAAAATATAAAATAATTAGTAGGGCATGGTGGCGGGCGCCTGCTATGAGGGGGCTGAGGCCAGAGAATCGCTTGAACCCAGAAGGCAGAGGTTGCAGTGAGCCGAGATCGTGCCACAGCACTCCACCCTGGTTGACCCAGCAAGACTCTGTCTCAAAAACAAAACAAAAATAATGATTGTGAAAATTTTCAAACATACAAAACCCAAATAGAATAAATCTCCATGTGCCTGGCACCAAATTTCAACAATTATCAACTCATGGCCAATCTTACTGTATCTATATCCCACCTCCTCAATTATGTGGTAGCAAATCTCAGATATTTAATCTATAAGGATTTTGGTGTGTTTCTTTAAAAATTAAGAACTTTATTGTACTTAATGATTGATAACACCATTATCCCATCTAAAGTTTTTATTTTCCGGGAAGGCTTTTTGGAGCCTAGGCCCTCCGGTGGCTCACACCTGTAATCCCAACACTTTGGGAGGCTAAGGCAGGAGGATGGCTTGAGCCCAGGAGTTCAACACTAGCGTGGGCAATATACCAAGACAGTCTCAAGAAAAAAGAAAAAAGCTTTTTGGCAAGACTACTTCCTAGTAGATGCTGGTACTTCTATCGCAGCGCATTATGGGGCACATAATGCCTGGGACTCCTGGATTCCGAGCGAGCCCCTGACGCCAGCAGGCACCTCTGTGGCTCTGGAACCCGAGTGCCTTCGCCTTAACGCCACGCCGCCTCATCGGATCCCAATAAGGGGGCGGGCCTACCTCGCTAGCATAAGTGTTACGCGTGCGCAGATAGATGCGCCCGCTCGGCTGCCGTAGTTCGCGTTTCCACCTGGTCGCCCGGCGGCTATGGCGGCCGTTCCGAAGCCGGTGCTGCTGGGACTTCGAGATGCGCCGGTGCACGGCAGCCCCGCAGGGCCGGGCGCCTGGACTACTAGCAAGCTGGGCGGCATTCCGGTGAGAGTGGGCACCGGAGCTGGGGTCGATGGGTGCTGGTGAAGGGTGCAGAGGGAGTGGGCGAGGTCCCGGGGGGAGTCGGGGTTTGAGCACCTCCTCTGCTCTCAGGATGCTCTGCCCACCGTGGCAGCGCCCGGGCCCGTGTGTCAGCGCTGTGGGGAGCGGCTCGCCCTGGTCGTGCAGGTGTACTGCCCGCTGGAAGGCTCCCCGTTTCACCGGCTGCTGCACGTGTTCGCCTGCGCCTGCCCCAGCTGCAGCACCGGCGGTACGCGCAGGTAGGTGGGGAAGGCATGGAGCTGCCCCCGGGGCGTCCTTTCCAGTGGGCTGGGGCGGGCCGGCAGGCTGGAGTCGGGGTGCAGCCCTCACGGCCCTTTGTCTTCACCCCGAAGCTGGAAGGTGTTCCGCTCCCAGTGCCTGCAGGTGCCAGAGAGAGAGGATCAAGACGCTCAGGTAAAGCGGTTGTGATTCACATGTTACTGTTTTCCTGTCATTTGAAGATACTTTTCAGAATATAGTTTGGGACAAACTTTGAAGCCTTGTTCTTTGAAGTACGTTGGAATGTTTTTGCTGGTTTGCAGAATCGTAAAACTTAATTTTCTTAAGGTTTTGGTAAGGGTTTTTTGCGTTTTTGTTTTTCGTTTTTTTTTTTTTTGAGTTTATGTGTTTTTTTTTTTTTTTTTTTTTTTTTGGAGACGGAGTCTCACTCTGTTGCCCAGGCTGGAATGCAGTGGCACGATCTCGGCTCACTGCAACCTTTGCCTTCCAGATTCAAGCAATTCTGCCTCAGCCTCCTGAGTATCTGGGATTACAGGCACGCGTCACCATGCCTGGTTTTTTTTTTTGTATTTTTAGTAGAGACGGGGTTTCACCATGTTGGTCAGGCTGGTCTCGAACTCCTGACCTTGTGATCCGCCTGCCCAGGCCTCCCAAAGTGCTGGGATTACAGGAATGAGCGACTGTGCCCAGCCGAGGGCTTTTATTTTGGATTTTTTTTCCTTCCATTTTACCTTATTTTTATTTTCTAACTCCTGTGGCTGGCATGGTGACTCACGCCTGTGATTCCCAACATTTTTTTGAGAGGCTGAGGTGGGAGGATTGCTTGAGCTCAGAAGTTGGAGACCAGGCCGGGTACCTTGGCTCATGCCTGTAATCCCAGCACTTTGGGAGCCTCAGGCAGGCAGATCACCTGAGGTCAGGTGTTCAAGACCAGCCTGGCCAATATGGCGAAACCCTGTCTCTATTAAAAATAAAAACAAAAAATTAGCCAGGCATGGTGGCAGGTCCCAGCTACTAGGGAGGCTGAGGGAGGAGAATTGCTTGAACCCGGGAGGCAGAGATTGCAGTGAGCCAAGATCATGCCACTGCACTCCAGCTTGGGCAAGAGTCAGACTTCATCTCAAAAACAAAGACAAAAGAGAAGTTGGAGACCAGTCTGGGCAACATAGCAAGACATCATCTCTATAAAAAGTAAAAAATTAGCCGGGCATGGTGACTGTGCAACTGTAGTGCCAGCTACTTAGGAGGCTGAGGTGTGAGGATTGTTTGAGTCCAGGAGGTCGAGGCTGCAGTGAGCTACGGTTGTGCTACTGCACTCCAGCCTGGGTGACAGAGCCAGACCCTGTCTCCAAAAAAAAAAGCGGGACGGAAACTTCCTCCTGGATTTCTTCAACGTTTTTTAACTATAAATTGACAGTTTATAATAATGTATAAATTTATACATTAAAGGTATAATGTGATGCTTATGATTCGTGAATATGATGTGGAATAATTAAATCAAGCCTGTTAATTCATTCGTTGCCTCAAATACTTAACATCTTGTGAGAACATTTGAAATTTCCTCTGGCAATTTTGAGATATACAATACTCTGTTATTAACTATAACCATGCTGTGCAATAGAATTTTTTTAAAACCCACATTCCTCCTATATAACTGATGTTTTGTATTCTTTGACCATCATCTCCTTATTGCCGCCATGCCCTACTACTTTTTTTGTATTTTTAGTAGAGATGTGGTTTCACCGTGTTGGCTAGGCTGATCTTGAACTCTT